ATGTACATCTTTTAAAAGTTTTGCTCAGTTGAAATCTTTAACCTGATTATCTAAGTTACTTTGTTCTATTTTGATTTGAATACTGTCAATACATTCAGTGAGGAAGCATATAAACCAGAAAATGATAAAGAAAATAAATTCATTGAATATAGGCTAGAAACATGTACCAACCTTATCAATGGAGGCATTATGTGCATCTGTTTGTTTATCATCAACTAATAAATGAGGTGTATGAGAATAATCTAATGTTGTTAAAGGTTTAGTATCAATAGGATTATATGTTGTACCACTGATATCACCTATTAACTTATTATAATCAACAGATTGGTCACCATTATCTTCTAGACCCTATCAAATATTAATCAATTATTTAATCATCAAGTTAGAATTCTCTGCACTGATCTTTGACAAAGTTCCTTAGTCAAAAAGAAGACTCTGTTACAAAAAAAGATTTACTAAATCTGAAAATGCCAATTAAAGAAATTGGAAAAGTATTTGGTTGAATTGATTTTCTCCTTAACTTGAGAGCTATGAAACAAAAATTCAAATGAATTACTCACCTTAAAGAATTGCTCTTTATGTGCTATTTCATCAAGAGTATCAATACCATGTCCACTACTAGTATATTCATTCTTAATACCATTATTAGTATTATTATGTTCATTATGGATCAGATTCTCTACAAACAAATATATGTGTCAAATGAATAACAATCACTCCTGCTCAAGATGAAAATTACATATGAATTGTGATTAGTGATAACTTAAAACAAAGTTCAATTCAGATGCCTTGTTGGTATAAATAAATTTGAAATGTCTTACCCAATGAAAGATCATTATTATATGATGTACCAGTGTAACTAGCATGAGCTGCCATTTCTTGAACTCTAAAAACAATACAAAACTTTACTAATTTTTCTGTTGAAATAGATTTTCTAATAAAGGTCAGTAAATAAATGTAAAACTTGAACTTATTTGATACAGGTTATATATAAGTAAAAAAATATAACATCTTCATAATTAAATTTTGTAGCATAATTAAATAAACATTGAACTTACTTTCTCTTTTCATCACTATTATCAATCTCAGACTTTTCTGAAACTAAAACATATAACAAAATATTCAATCAACTCATTGATCTGTTCATTTGTGTAAATTATTTCTTAATGCTTTACAATGTGTTTTATCTGATTGTAAAGCCAAAAAACGCAAAAAGTAAGAAAAAAATCTACACATACTGTCTTCCAGACTGTCTCTGCTTAAAGATATCTCTGATTCCTTTCCTTTAGATTTTCCAGTCTAGAAAAAAAATTCAACAAAACATGAGTAAAACTGCTAAAAATAATGGAAAACAGAACGATTCAACTTGGAAACAAACATTTTTAGTTATTGATGTTCTATAAACATACATAAAGAAATAAAAAATTCTTTGAATTATACAAGTTTACAAGGTTTAGTTTGGTGAATATCCTCTAGAATACCAAAAAAGAGAGAATCTTAATCTACTAACATCTTTTTTAGCTTTTGGTCTATCCACACTCTTTTCTGTTTCTGTTTTAGCATTATCATTTGTTTTCTTTGATTTCAAAAACTTGCTGCCAGTCAAACTCAATCCTGAAACAGACAGATAGCAAATTAATACATCAAAGTCAAAAACAATTTCCATCATTGATGTAAATAAAGCAACTACTTGAAGAATTGCTTGGGATGATTTCTATACAAGTGGTACATAATTCATATTTTAACTGTGCATACTAAAACTAGAATATCTTGTAACATTTTGATGCCACAATTCCACTAATACTGTCTGTTGCGCTGTATAAAAATATTGAAACCTTTGAGGTCAAAACAACTAACCCTTTTCACTGTCATCATCATCATCATCATCATACCAATGCGCCTTCCTTTCCTTTTTATTTGGTTTCTTTAGGTATTTATTCAGTGATTCATCTGATGATACAGACTAGAATATAGGATAAAATATTTACCAGTTCTTTTTTTTCTATATTGACCTTAAGTGATTTCTTAAAATTTAACCTTACTTTTACAATCAGAACACTTAAAGTGTAAATGAATTCAGATGATATATTTTGATTATATGAAATAAAGGAGTTTAAATCAATAGGAAAACTTACATCTCTAAGAAAAGCATCAAACTGTGTATCTAAATCATCCTTCGTAAATCTTTTAGACATCTTAGTATTTTACACTAAAAAAGTGAAGATTCAAGGGTAAATTAAATATTCTCTGAACAAATAACAATAACAATTCTTTGGAAAACAACCACATTTGTGACAATGTCATTATAGTGATGAGCCAGATTAACCACACGCGCCAGCAGAGCTAGCTGTTCCATTGAAATAGCGTGGGAAAAGAGAAACGTGTGCTGATATCAGCGAAACCGATGAGGTCAAAATGATAATACACACACACCCTTGTTTTTTCTGTATAGTATTTTTTATTTATTTTTTTGGCATAAAGAAATGATTCTGAAGCCCTTTTCCAGAAGTCTTATAATCTTATATCTCTGTAAAATGACTAGTTAAATTTGTACTCTCTTTTTTTAATGAACCCTTGCAAAAAAACAAATTCAGATTGATTAAGTAGATGGATACATATAGATGTAAACAGCATACTTTAGAAATATTTTCAGGTATAATTTACGTTTTTGATAATGAAAATTTTACATACTGCTCCATTAAGTGGGTATTTTTTGACATAATATGCTATCCTATTTATTTCTGGTGGTGGGGACCAGTGGGAGGCCAGTGGTTCAACCACTTGTGAATTAAATCAGTCCCTATCCCTATGCCTGGTATTTGTTGAGTTCAGATGTTGTACTGTTGTACTTGTAGTTGATCCACTGTCATCATGGAAGTCATGGCAAACATAAACACAGCAACGCTTGATGCCAAACATTCCCTTTTGACCTAAATTAACATCGTACGAAAATCCACATTTCAGACCTTACTTTAAAATTATGTACGAAGATTTTGCTCAATAAACGTTCTTTTCAGTTCACTTTTCATGCAAAGACTTGTTTTGTTTATCCGCCATTTTTCAACACCATACGACTTTTTGTAATTTTCAAACAATGAAGAGTTCCAGAAGAACTTCATGAGTTGCCTCCCTTTCAATCAGAATGAAAACATTATGGAAAAATGAAAAAAGTTGGGCAAGTCTGTTCACTTGTCAATCAGATATTGAAAAAAAACGAGCTTTTTTAAATTTGCATTTCTGTATTATTATTTACAAAATTTACAAAAATAGAGGTCTATTTTGACATGAACTAGTGTGGTTATTGATGAAACAAAAGTAACTCAAAATAGTTAATACATTTTCAGCTGTGTTTGAGTTGATGAAATATCAAAAGAAAAAAAGGTTACTTTTGCCTTTGATTTTATTAGGAAAATTTTTAATATCCATGCTCTAATGCAATAACTGCCTTGAAGGTAACTTTTTAAAAATACACATAGGTAGTCCCAAAGACCTTCACCAACAAAACTCAATTCATAACCATCATGGTGGCCAGACACTAACAAGTAACATCATATTATAATTGATACAGAACAGGGTTGCAGATCAGTATATTTCAATAAATAATGTCCGGAACATCCAACTAAGGTCAACATATTATTTTTGTGACAAACCTTTTTTAAAGACTGAATCTTCAAAAATAATAGGAAGTTATTCAAGAACAAAGATAAAAAAAAATAATGTAAAATTAGATCTTTTTTTCCACAAGTAGTTTATTATTACTCACAATATATACAGTGGTGTAACCTATTTTCGTGGATATAAGGATTCAACATCGAATTTCGTCAAAGTTAAAAAAACAAATTTTTTTTTATGTCTTAGATGTTTCTTCAGATATTCTACAAAATAACTAAAATTGGTTTATTTCGATTTTCTTTATGAATCCTTCACTTTGACCCATATTTCATGAGCAACCAACTCGGCAACGGCAGCAGACTGCAACACCTATTTTTTGTGTACAATGTTTGATCTATAAATAAGTCTAGAAAAACACGTTGTATGGATACCGGGTGGTATAATTAACTTCTCTTAGTATTTATCTTTAATATCAATTCATTATAACTAGTGACAATTCCTTCACAGAACCACGATTTTAAAAAAAAAATAGTGACTGACAAAATAAGATACGTAGCGTGATTTATTGCTAAAAGTCACTGAAACAACATAAGAATATGGTCCACTTTGTGTTACATAGAAATTTTTTGCTGACACGGAATCCGCTAGTTGATCACGTGACTTCATTCGTTGGACTACATTCTAGCTGACGGCACTTGGAATTCTGATTACCGCTTGGGATTATAAGGAAATTCGGCCGATAAAAAATGGTGACGTTTGGTAATAACTGAAATCCGTCATTTTGTATATATCAAAGTATATATTAATAGATTTTACCTTGCTTGAAACTACTGAATTCATTCTACTAGCTGACATTGTACAAAAAACCCATGTTTATCAAAACAAGCAAATGCGGAGGTCACGCGAGGTCGCCCATGTAAGTTAGTAATCCGGAAATGCACGAAAAATAGGTTACCACGAAATTAGGTTACTTGACTGTATTTATGAATGAAAAATGAATAAAGTTGAGCTAAAGTTTAACTTTTTTTCAAGTCAATCCACTGTATTCTATAGAATACTAACATTTCTGAATTAGCTGGTAGACCATCAAAATTAAACTGATGTTCACTTGTGGATGTCCCTTTCATTTTTTAGGCACAGTTTCCACTAAAATGAAAACTTTCATTCTGATGATGGAAGTTTGAATTGCGAGATATATGTAATGTACTGATGGATAAAATCCAGCACTCTCTCAATCATCAATAAAACAAGTATAATCTCTCTCACTGTACACTCTAACAATATTTAAAACAATCATACAACATAAATAAATATCATATTATGGATCAACGTTGTTCTGCTTTAGGTTTCGGTGGGCGAAAAAATCCTTTGGGTTTCTTAACTTTTCCTCCAGATTTAAAATTCCTCCAGCTATCAACTCGACCCGTTCTGGAAGCCTAAAAATACAACAGAATTATATATATAGTAGTTATTAACAAGACAGAATAATAAACGTTGGCGTATCAAGATGCTAATAAGATATGTTATACTGTAATAATTATACAGTATTATAACTAAACGTCTTCTCAAAGAAAAAATAAAATTGAAAGAAATATTGTCATACTGACAGTAAGGAAACATATTACATATCTGAATACTACATTATCAATTCTTTCTATGTCACTCCAAATATCATAATTCTGATAAAGATAAAAGAGGTGCAATGTGGTTTACAATCAAATATTATCACCTCAAAATTTTTATCCCATTCTTTCTGCATTTTCTTCTTTTCCTCTTCATCTGCATCTTCCTCTGCCTTTCTCTTCCTGTAAATAATATAAATAATTTAATGCTGTCATTATTAAACAATGCTAAAATGTAACATTATTCATAATGCTAAGGTTAAATATCATCATTTAAGAATTTCAAAAAGCATGAATTATACTTCATGTATCATACAGGACATGCTAGCAGAGCACTGACTTTTGTGTTGCATATAGATTCATGTATTGGCTTTAAGAAAAATAGCAACAAAAATAATTTACAAAAATATCTGCCTCAGTTTGATCAGACAGATATTTCAAGTTAACCTTACTTTTCGTGCATTTCTCTGGCTTCTTTTTCTCTTCTCATTCTTTCTAAATCGGCAAATAATTTACAAGTTTGAACATACACTGCATGTTTATACTACAAAAATATCAACATATATTTAAATAAAAAAAATTTTCTTCTTATTTTCAATCTGTCACTGTTTCCCAATTCATCAAAAACTAATTGTTTAGAAATATTTTGTTACTTAAACTTGTGTATTAGAAAGGCATAAAAAATGTACATGTTGTATATCACAATTTATAACATTTACAAATTTGTATGTTTGACATCTATGACTGCATAAATTCTCTTTTGTCAATTTCCTACTCACCTTTTCTATATTGTCTTCAGGTACATCTACTGCTTTTCCATCTTTCTTTAATTGTTTCTTCTTATGTTTTATCTGAAAGGATAAGGGATGAGAGTGCTTAAAATCATAATAGATTAATGTTCACCCTATTGGAACACCTTAATTATAACATACCTGTGATTCTGAATTCCTTTTCAAGAGCCATTCTTATGCAAAAAAAAAATTAACAACAAAAAAAAAAGTTACAATTTAGATATATAAAATAAGTTTCACATTTGCTTACCATATCATCTGTTCTTGATTTAGCCTCTTCTACTATCTCTTGACATCTCTTCATACCTTCTTCATTTTCTAACGTTTTATATGCCTTATTCAATGCTATAATAAAAAAAATTATTAATCGGTGTAAATCGGTGAAGAAACACTTAAGTTTCATCATACAAAAATGAAAAAAAACTGACCATAACAAGAATCAATCAAAAGATCAGATGAATAAAATAATTTATTTGAGTGGACTTTTGCCAATAAATCCTAACATTAGGATGATCTTTGTAGGAATAAATCATATTTTGCTTTTGAAATTTCTCAACTAACGCCCTTTAAGACAAATGAGTATTTTAAGTATTTTGTGGTTTTAATGCTAATTTTCAACCAGCCAGAAATATTCTGGATTTTAAAATAACTTTTTAAAAAATAGATAAATCATTCACACCGTCAAATGTTTTTTGTGCTCTGTCTATATCATCTGGATTTTTATCAGGATGGACCAATATAGACATCTAAAAAACAATATAGCAATTATTTTACATAAAAGCATTTTTACCAACAAACTGGAGAATTTGGCAATCTGAACCAATTAAGCACATGCAGTAAGAAATATAGAAAAAAAACAGATCCAGCAAATTAGTAGTATAATGCATACGGTAACTATTTAATATCTTTAAAACAAAAATATAGTCTACCTGACGATAGCGTTTCTTTACTGCTGCTAATGGTGTGTCTGGATCAATCTGTAAAACCTAACAATAATAGTAAACTTCAAAGTTAGATATTATAGTTAGATAAATATTACATCATTATCAAAAGATATAGTTTGATCTACATGGCAGACTTTGCAAAAAGAAAGTCGAATAAACAAAATAATCAACATTAAATTTGTTGAAAAATTTATGCTTTCTAGCTTTTAAGCAATCAGAATTAGAACATGATAATATGTATAATATTTTCCTTACTAGCTGTCAGTAGCTGATGGACCTCAACTTCAGCAATGCATTGAATTTTCATTAAATTGCAGACAATTCAGATTGCAAACTAAAATTGATACAAATGGCATACTTCTAGTTCTTATCACATGTTTATCTGAATATTTTTTATCTAATATTTATATGACTACATTTAACATTCATTTAAACTTACATCGAATGGGTTGAGATTAAAGTAAGTTGAGCCTGGTCGGTTTAATCTGTCTATCTGTTGTTTAGAAGTTAAAACTGAATCTCTCTCTTCTATAGCTTTAACCTATAAAAATAAGGTACCGGTAAACTATTGAACTAATTGATCCCTAATTTAATCCCTAACTTCACATAATTATTTTCACTTTCACAAAGAAGGCATACTTGATTAAAAACATCAATAAATGCTAAAAATACACTTTTATCCAAAATTCAAATTGAAATTAGTGAAATGTGGATATAAAAGTATTCATAGCAACCCAATGATGTTCCTGTAGCATTGGTAAGCTTATATATCATGTGATTTGTTGTCTGTGAGGCATTTAATGGAAAAAATTCTTAAAATTTTTGAAATATTTTTTTAATTTGCGTTTTTTTAATTAGCCTATTGCTGTTTTTTCAAATCGGTTTGAATCTTAAGAATCTTTGTAATGAAAGGAGCAAGAACATGATTCTGCACAACTCTTTCACATCCTTTTCAATTGGAATTGGTATATCAACTCCAAACAGTCAGTAAATAGCCAGTTAATGGGTTATGTCTTTGATTTGATGAAATTAGGCTACAACAGAACAGTTGATGAAAAAAAAATCATCATCGTCATCATTTGAAAATTGGGAGTTTAATTTGTACAGAGAGATTGAGTCACAATGAATGAATAGTTTCCTTTCAAAGGTTATAGTTATAGTCAATTTGGCACTAAATCATCAAAAGTTTTATTTATGACCCAAAGACAATCTTAATCCAATGAAATGAAATTGAAAATTTTTTTTGAATTAGATCTATATTTTTTTGTTTTAATCTTTTTTTGGAATGAATGAACTTGAACTGGTAGGTTTTAGATGCAATTGTCATTTTATACTGTTTGCATATTAGAGCCAGAACTTTTGAATTAATGGCAGATAAATTACTTCGCTATAGAACTCGTTAAACGTTTCATTTTTTTCTGTAGAGGTGGATTGTTGTTGGCTACTATTTTCTTCTGAATTTTCAACATTTACATTCGCCATTTTTAACTTTTAAGACAGAAATTGGTTTTCTGCACAGAAGAGTTTCAAGGGAGACTATCGTAATCATATTCGAAAAAGTCTAAAAGTTATGCAATCTTCATTGACGTTATCACGAATCTAGAATTGCTTACAAATTTCTGCAGTATGGGTCTAGTAAAAATAATAATGAAACTTTGAAGATAAAGAATAATTATGCACAATTTTCCCATATCGCGATACGCATTGACCGTCTCGAAATTCTTGCAATTTGTAGGATAAACTGGTTCCCCATTCCATCTTAAGCCCATAGAGTACCGGTAGGCTAATATATATTTATAAATGTATGCTTCGCCCCGAAGTGTAGCGATACGCGAACACTACAGGGTATCAATTTAGGATTGCATGATATATGAACAAAGTTTCTATTGCATTGTTCCGAGTCGTAGGAGGCAGACTGGTGTAGGCTATTAAGTTTTCAAAATAGATAATGTTTTATTCACGGTAAATGATTATTATAACTGATAGATTCATTTACTTTAGAATAAAATTTAAGTTTTGGACATAGTATAGAGTTTGGTTTTATCAGATAAAAATACTACCAATCTATTTTTACCCGTGTCACTCTGGCTGGGTGTGTGAACAGACCATGAATTCGAACGCACCACTGTAACGACAAGCTCGAGACTTCATTCAACAACTATCATAGGTGTGGAGAACACAAACAAGGTTAGACAAGGTGAACATTGCACACGACAAACTTGCAACAAACAATTTAGATATAGAAGAATTGTCATTTGAATACATCAATATTAAGGTAAACTTTTTAGCATTATCATACGTTTGAAATTGTGTTTAATGAAGGCATTCGTAATGTTGTGAATTTGTTATTTGGGTCAATGAAGGAAACGTAACTCTATTCATATTTAAGCTTTTGCAACGATCTCTGGTTTGATTTCTAAATATTTGGTTAATGGTACTTGATCTATGAAATATGAATTTATTCGATGAGAGTTAAATGGTTTTCTGGACATTTCTTAAGTAGTAACATTTTATAAGCTTTATTGGTTAGTTACGAGATTCGAATCAAGAGTTGTGTCCCTTGATCGGTTTGGTTTCGGTTGACCTACTATGCAATATGGACTTTGATCCTTGGATGGTTAGTATTTTAATCAGGCCATAATATATCTTCTGCAATTGATTAATTACATTAATTTCAATTTCCAGATTAAAATTCAATTATAATGTAGATCAATGATTTGCTGCCTTTTTATTGTGTTACATGTTCATTGATTTCGTTTATTAAATATTTTAATTTTAGTCAATTTAGTTGTATTACTTACAATACCGGTATATTAATGAGATAACCTAGTTGCAATATATTAATCTTTGTAGTAGTGACAGTGTGCATCAAGACAGAAATTTTGCTATAACTAGTACAAAGTCTAATCTCAAGGGTTTTAGTTGTTAAAGGTTTGTGAGTGTCTTCGCTGCCTGGTATTCAGTAATTTCCTGTTTGTACCTTCAGTTTCTGGAGGCTGGCACTGCCACTAACAGATAATGTCAATATATAACAGTTTAGGCTTTTAAAAGATAAGCTTAAATTTTTATTAATATTTAATTTCAACAAAATCTCAGAACTCTTACTTGGACTGAGGTCCTTTTGAGACTTCCATAAATATTGGTAAAGCTTACTAATAGTTAGGCTTATGTTCGTTTAGGTCAGCTTTTAATGCATTATTATTTTCATCAATCTTGTGAAAGGCTAAGACTTTTAATTGATTGTCTACAACAACAAAATAATAATGAAAAATCTTTTTAGAAAGTCATCTCCATTACAATTTTGTTATTGGGGTTATTGGTATTAAAATATGTAGCCTATCTATTGGTAGGCCCCATAATGTATATGGGTATATTTTTTCTATTCATGGTAATATTATTCTTATTAAGAACTAGAACTTACATAAGCCTATTAGACAAAAATAGAAAGATATAAACAAATTAGACATTAGACCCACTAGAGTATTAATCAAATGAGATACAACTATAAATCCTATAATCTAGCCCCAGGAGAGAACATTTATATGTAATGTTATATAATACAGGAGTTACCTGGTATACTTCATGTAGTTTATAACGTAGGTGACATTGATACAGGTTTGAATTAAACATTAGTTCTACAATGTGAAGGACCATTTGTTCTGTATACTGCTTTTTTGCATTTATCGTCATTGTTTATTGCCTTTGTCTTGCGTTTAAATTTCAGTTTCCTGATTTTGATTTAGGAGAATGTTCATATATTAACATGTAATTTAACTTTTAGATAAAACACTGTGAATGTTGGCTGACTGCCAGCTAACTTACAGGGTTTTATCTTAGAATAACTTGCATATTCAGGGTTTCTATTGTGAATGTGATGCATATACAGTATCTAAATTTGTAAGCTCAGATTTATTTTATTATAAATCTGGTTGTTGACATTAAAAGTTACTTGATCCTTACTGTAATTGTTATTAAATTAAGGTGGAAGTGTGCCGATATACTTGATATATTTTGAAATGTCTTTTCTACATTTAAAATCTTACATTTGAGAACTAAATATTATGAAAAAATGTTTAAAATGATTTTGAGAAAGTTTTAAGCAAATTATGTTTATATAATAGGATGACACCCTCTAATGACATATCACAACCGAAATTCACTACTTATATAAAATTCAATTATTATTGGCTATTGTGAGATAACACTTAGTAGTTCTTGTACTTGAAATTCCTGTTCTTATGAAACACACTTCCTCTTTACGATCAATTTGCATACCATATATAAGCTTTTAAAAGATATGGTAACAACTATTGTTAATTTGTATGGTGTATAATAATTACAATTTAATGTTATATTGTAGATCAGGATATAAAGAAGTTCACAAGTTGTAATCATGGCAGAGGCACACGCTGCGGTTGCCTTCTCTTTCTCAGTTACACCTGATGGTGTCAATGTTGCTGTTAATCATGAAGCATTATGGGCTGTATTTCACAGTGGAGTTTTGTCATGGAATAGGAAAATACATAGAATAAAGGTAGGCCTTAACTATCATCCAAAAGGTCTTAACATTTCTTGAATATTTCAATATTATGAAAATTTAGAAGTAGTATCTGTATATCCATACATCTTGTGTTGAAAGAGATTTTTCTAAATTTTTTATGTGCATCGGGGACACCGACAGCATCAATTTTTATTCACTAATCTTTGGTTCCTGCAGTTCCACTACAACTAAGCATTTTAGGATGTCACTAATAGCCTCAGATACTGTATCATATAAGGACTTTGCAATCAGTGACAGCTTAAAACACTTAGTGTTAGTGGAATTGCAGGAAACACAGACGTCTGATTGAAAATTGGAAGAGTGCAAATTGATGCTATCAGTGTCCCTGATACACATTAATGAATTAGAAAAACCCCTTTACAATCTCTTTTAATGTCATAGAAGACACTAGTAATTTCAGATTCAATTTTCTTATTAATACAATGAAATAAGATACTGATATTGGAATTCCAAAGGATTGATAGGAATGAATGTTATTTCACAATTTTGAAGCTTGGGACAGTTCATAATGAATATGTTTTGTTTTTAAATTTACAGAATAGTTTCCATAATGGCATCTACCCAGCATCAGCAATGAGTTTACTATTTACTATATCTATAGTACTAGCATTATGTCTTGGTGGTTTTGATGTATCTTATGGTTCTATCAAATATATTCAAACACATTTTCCTGGGTAAATACATGAATTTCTTCTTAAAAATAAACTTATTATACAAATATAATTAGACATCTCTTATGAAGGGAAATAGTTTATTGCTTATAAGCTTCTTTGAGAGAATTCTAATATTAAACTGAGGATTTGGCTGCATATGTTTGACTTCTTCTAATATAAGCTTACTACACAAATAAATGCATCACTGATTTTCCTGATGCTTTGGCTTAATAACAAGATACAATAGATTATAGATAATGTTAATGTTGAAAGTCAGTTGTAAACTATAGAAAGATGTTATTACCGTGAGCTGGTTGAATGGTCTGAAAATGTACAAACAAGCTTATGAGTTAACAAAACGTCACGTATTCACGAGGGGTTAACAATTGTTTTGTTTCTATTGTAGAATATCCTATGCAAATGACACAGTGAATTTTGTTATCAGTTCTGTGATATTTTCTACTATATTGTGGATCACTGTGATAAATGTAATCAAATACATATTACGATTGTTATTCAACTATCAAAATTGGATGTATGAAGTAAGAGGAAAGAAGGTATCTTGGCAAACTAAACTCTGGGTTGTAAGTGTAGATTTGTTTTTAAAGTTTGTATAATGCATTGCTGTTTATTGATTAGCTTATATTGACTATGACTGAAAGCTGAAAATCTGACACAGTAATTGATTTCTTGTTTTTTGATGTAGTTAAGATTGAAAGTATCTTGAATCAAAATCCCCAATAAGATGATTGATATTTTTTTAGGTTTAAGAAATGATGATTGAAGCTGACATTGGACAATCTTATAATGTACCTTGCTTTTCCATGAGTTTAATACTAACTACTATATTTTTTATTTCTGTAGGTCTTAGTGAAGTCTTTTAGTGGGAGACATCCAAAGTTATATAGTTATCAAGCATCACTACCTAAATTACCAGTTCCAGGTGTTGAAGATACCATGAATAGAGTAAGTTTGCTTTTAGGTACACCGGTATAATTACAACAAATTATGATTATAATGATAACAGTATTTATCATTGAGAACATTGATTTAAATAATGAGAGATATAATAGAATGATGTTTATATTATTTTTTCAGTATTTATTATCTGTAAGACCATTGTTAGATGATGAGAAATATAATAGAATGAAAGGTTTAGCAGAAGAATTTAAAAATGGAATTGGTAACAAACTACAAAGATATCTTATTTTGAAATCATGGTGGGCCTCCAACTATGTAAGTCATGTTTATTAGCTTTAAAACCAGACAAAGTGATTTCATATTTGAAGATTTCGCAGGAATTGTTCTGGTCATGAACTTGTTTTTTTTTCTGTCATATGCCTGGAACTGTGAGTTAATCATGCAGATTCTATTTATTTTTCTCGTTGATACTGTGAACTATCAATAGCCCTTTTCAGATTAAACTGAAGGATTGTTAATCAGTAAGTTGAGAAGTACACCCCAGCAGAAGTGAATTCTGACTATTTACTAACAATTCTATCTAGATCGATCAAATTAATATTTAAATAAATATCAGAACATTGCTGAAATGAAATTGAATGTTATTTTTGTAGGTATCTGATTGGTGGGAGGAATATGTATATTTAAGAGGAAGAGCTCCCATTATGATTAATAGTAATTTCTATGGAATAGTAAGTATTAGTTTATATCTCAGTTATCAAACATTTTAAGTCTTTATCACATTTCTCTACTACAAAATTGTTTCATTTGAATTCTATACATTTGTTGCAAATACTCAGATGAATTAAGACCATTAAAAGATATGTATTTTATTTTTAGGATGCTGTATTTTTGAAACCCACACATAGACCTCTATCTCGAGCTGGTAATATTATTTATTCTATGTTAAAGTTTAGACGAGAAGTTGATAGAGAAGAATTAGAACCTGTAAGTAAAGCACCAATAGTTGTTTTCTCCTTTTAATCTCGATCTGTTTATGATGTCCATCACTAAAGTCCATTGTACATAATGTACATACTCAGTTAAAGCTAAATCTGTACAGTTTAAAGAGATGGTCTTGCATTCTCTGACATTGCTATAATAGTAATTATTATTATTACAGATTATTTTAAATAAGACTGTTCCACTGTGTTCATCACAATATGAAAGACAGTTTAATACCACTAGAATACCAGGTGTAGAAACAGGTATATACATTTAGAAATACATAATATAAAGATAAAAATGCCTTTCTGCCACAAACAATTTAAAAATATATTTAGCTCAATTCTATACAGTAAATTATCATACTTAAAATACAAATTAATTCAATGTTTATAAGAAAATTGCTAATAGCTTTTTTATTTATATTAAATCTTTACATATTTCACAAAATTGAGTGTACTGGTTGGCTTTATGCAAGCAATGATTTCTTAGATAATTTCTAGTGTACTGCATAATTCAGTCAGGTTGGTCTTTCTAATAAATAAATAGTAAGTGAAAATGATATCTATTTATATCTTTTGTAGATCAACTTATACAGTACCATGATAGCTCACATATAGCAGTTTATCATAAAGGAAGATATTATAAAGTTTATATAAGAAATAAAGGTGTATTGTTAACACCTTGTGAAATAGAATAGTAAGATTATTGTATATACTGGTAGGGTTAAATGAATAGAATTACTGTGTTTGAATTCATTGATTTCTATTACTTTAATGGATCATGAAAGTTAATAATAATAAGGTTGATCAATTTAATCCGTTCTCATATACAGATTCATACAGTTGATGAATGTCTTCTGTTTCAGCACATTGCAGAAAATAGTAGATGATGATTCAGTACCTTCACCAGGAGAGAAAGAATTAGCAGCTTTAACAGCTGGTGAACGAGTAGCATGGGCTAAAGCTAGAGCTGAATACTTCTCCAAAGGCAAAAACAAGGCTTCATTACATGCTATAGAAAAGGTAATGCTTACATTGACTAGCTTATTACTTAACTGAATTTTCAATAACTTGTCATTTTTTAAATGCTGATTTTCGACTAGAATCTAGATTTTGTCTGTTGTTAAAGTATCTATTTAGATAGATAAATATCTGTTTGAAATCTTTCATTCACACATTTCTTGATCTATTTTAGGCAGCTTTCTGTGTGACACTAGATGAAGATGCTCAAGAGTTTGATCTAGTAAGTAAAATATATCATTAAAGATAATACAACCATTGTTTAAAAGCTTATATACCTTTTTATACGCCCACATGAAATGGGGGGTGTATATTGCCGTCACCCATGTCCGTCCGTCCATCGGTTCGTCCACAATTGCTCGTAAACACTCTACAAGACACAATTCTTGACGGATTTCGACAAAACTTGGTATAAGTGTTCGTAATCACCCAAGGATGAACCCTATTTAAAATCAGAATTATCGAAAAATATTTAGTATGAGTTATTGCCAGTGCTCTTGAAAACGCATTCAATTTTTAGCTCGTGATCATTCTAGAAGGCACAATTCTTGACGGATTTTGATGAAACTTGGTGTGAATGTTTGTAATCACCAAAGGATGAACCCTATTAAAAATCAGAAGAATTGAAAAATATTTAGTATGAGTTTTTGCCCTTGTGCTTGAAAACGCTTTCAAATTTAGCTCTTAAACACTAAAAAGCATGATTCTTTCTGGATTTTGACAAAACTTGGCTTTATTATTCAGTCCTGCACTGAAGATTTTCCTTCTAGAGTTTTCACGAGCTCAAGATTGAACACGTTTTCAAGAACAAGGGCAATAACTCATACTCAATATTATTCAGTATCGCCTTAAAGAGTTCAAAAGAAGTGTATATCTGAAGGTTAAATATTTCATACTGGTAATTGTTACTATACTACTAAATATTTTTATTCAAAATCAAAGCTGCCAGTGGGCGTATATTACCTTGCCTGGCAAGCTATCTTTTAAGCTGTTTTTATCTGACAAGTTTTGCTTAACTACTTAAAGTTCTTAGATAATGATCTGCTTTTATAATACTCTTTTTCTTCTTTACAGAATGTTGAGGTATTTTGGGTTTTTTTGTGAATTTTCTTGTTAATTCTTAATTGAATTTTTGCATTTGTTGAGATTTTTTTTCAGTGTTAGTCAAAACAAGAACTATGTCATTAACAGTCATATTACATTTAATGCTTTAATATGCTGATGGAATGTCCAGGAATTTTTCGAGGCACAATGTTATGTTTTTATTATTAGTTAAAAAATATTTCCTTAATTTTATTTTTCATTGCTCGAATGTGATATTTTGGTTATTATTTATTATTTAATTACTAATATAGTTAGTCTATTCAATAACTAAGTGAATGTAATATATAGGGGTTGTTTTGCTGTATTTGATTGAATTTATAACATTTGATTAAGGAAATAATCCAATTTCAAGTTCTGAAATTAAAAAAATTTTCAATTCACATTTTATCATATTTAATTTCACTTATCTTTTGTCATCTCTGTTTTATTCAGATCTATTATATTTCTAATACCACATCTGAAAATAAGCAAGAATGATTTTACAAAATAGTGTAATATTTGTGTGTTGATTAATTGTAGGAGAAACCTGAATTATTAGATGTTTATGGTCAGGCTATGTTACATGGTAAAGGCTATGATAGATGGTTTGATAAATCTTTTACATTAGTTGTTTGTGCTAATGGAAGAGTAAGTATTTGTCCATTTTTAAGACCCAGTATAATTTGATTTAGACATTTCACTTTTGAACATAACTGTTCATACATTCACAAGTTTACAAGCTCATTTTATTGGGAGCATATGCATTTCTTTATCATTCCCTTTCTTAGTCAGTTTTTCTGTTGTTTTCTATTAAAATACTGTCACTGCCAATCACAACTATTGCCACCATGATTGGTAAATATTGTTTTTGAATGTCTTGATTAGATCTTAAAAAAACTATCATTAGTGTCCATGTTGATGCCCATTTATTTATCATTAAGTCATGCCCTATATGATTCCATTGGCCAATTTTTGATGCTATGTTTCAATATTTGAATTTTCATGTCAAAAAGAATTCAAACAATAGGACTGCAAACAGGAGACTTGTATCAGAATAATTAATATCAACACACTGATAATGGCTGTTTTTATGTTTCAGATTGGTTTTAATGCTGAACATTCATGGTAAGATATAATTAATGCATCTTATATATATAATTATAGAAAATAAAATCTAAATTGAGAAATATTAAATGATTCTGATTAAGCTGAAAGATGTTTTAATAGAAATAGTAAATATATTAATTGTGTTTTAACAGGGCTGATGCACCAATTATGGCTCATTTATGGGAATATGCCATTTCTGAAGATAATCTTATTTTAGGGTAAAGATATTACCACTGAAATTGGGGTTTTTATTGTTATTTTTTATAATTTACTAATTTGATCATAGATTCAAACATTTTCTTAACTTCTAAATTTTTTTTAATTTGTTTTCAGTAATACTGTCACAAGGAATATAATTCTTCTGTTAGAATAGACAGCATTATAAGTATTTGAACTGAATTTAAGAAAATGATTTGAATCTATGATTATTGATATTTTATGTATGAACTAATTGCTTTTTATTTTTTTTTTTTAATTTTGTGTTGTATTTGGTGTTAACCCAACTTGTCTTAATTCTGTCTCTATATCTGTCTAATCCTACACATTACTCCTGCTCTCCTCCCTATTGTTGTTTTGTGTGCGTATCAATAGGGGTGATGCACCAATTATGGGACACATGATGGAGTTTGTTTTTTCTGATGATCGTGAATTAGGGTAACATAGATTTCTAATAGATATTATTGATAGTAATTAGACTTTGTCTTCTTGAATGTTGTAATAAACACTTACATAAGGTTATAGATCACTTTTATGTGAATATAAGCCTATACCTAGCTTTTACTATATCCATATTTGTATAATTAAATTAGATAATTTTATGATAATACAACCACAAACTGTAATATAAAATATATATTTTTTTTAAATATTAATATGATTAAAAATTATAAAGATTGTAAATAAGATAATTTTATTAATAGATGTATATATGTGACAATTTGTAATTATAGATATACTGAAGATGGACATTGTAAAGGTGAATTAGGACCAACACCTCCACCTCACCCTATAAGATTAGAATGGGACATACCTAAACCAGTAAGTGTTTCATGCAGAATATTTATATTTTTTATGGATTTTAGTCATGCTCTAAAATCTTTTACTTTGCACCTCAATTTGTCGTCAATGTTCCTTATTTGAAATCTAATTAGTATCCACAAAATTGCTCTCATTGCACAAGGATGTTTATAGTCAGTTGAAAATTAAAATGACTGCAAAATTGTCCTCATTGCACACAGTAATTTATTATCTTAGTTCTAAATAAGATTTAGAAAAGTAGTGTGTACTATCCCTTCACTTCATTTGATCAACTTGAATTCATATATTAATAATATTATTACAGTGTCAAAGTATAATAGAAGAACAATTACAAGTAGCCAAACAATTAATAAGTGATGTTGATTTACATCTGATGGTACATACAGCTTTTGGTAAAGGTTTGATTAAACAATGTAAAGTTAGCCCTGATGCTTTCTTACAAATAGCTTTACAGTTAACATATTACAGGGTTAGTTTCATTGTATTTTCTACTCTTTGATGTAATTTCTAGAAAATGAAAAAAATCTTGGGAAAGGATTATTCTAGTATGTCAACTTTTTGAATAGTCAATGTAGCAATGTAAGAAGGGTGCGCATTATATTAGCACTTATAAAGTATTTGTCGAATCACGATATAATGGCATATGCAAGCTAGGTAGGTAGGCCAGATGAGAGAAGACTAAACCGGGACAATTTGTTGATAAATGTTAATTATGTTCTGTTATATTACAGACTGCTGGTAAATTCTGTTTAACGTATGAATCATCAATGACTAGGCTATATAGAGAAGGTAGAACTGAAACTGTTAGATCCTGTACAGTAGATTCGTGTGAATTTGTTAAATCTATGGATGATCCTAACTGTACAGTAAGTCAATTTACTAATTCCTCTAAACCCTAAACTTTTCAAAACTAGTTTTTTGCCTTTTTCATCTGTTCTGTTCAGCACCACTGCTTTAGTTTTGTAGTAGACACAGTACTCTGTATGGTTGTATACAATTTATTACAAATCCAGTGTTCTGCAAGTTCGAAAGTAACCAGATTCTCATTTTTATGAGCTGGCCATAACCTTTAAATTCATTTTAGATAAAGATTATTCATTATTTAACATGTTCGTTGATATTTTTAGTGTTGAATCATATAACAAGTGACTTTAGTCTTTTCAAGTACTAAGTGACATATTTAGAGATGTTTTTTCTGATTGAATTATTATTATATGATTCAGCAAACTTATTTCTTCTATTATAATTTTAGAATGAAGAACGTATTGCTAAATTTCAACGTGCATCTGAAAGTCATCAACAAGGCTATCGTGATGCTATGACTGGTAAAGGAATAGATAGACATCTGTTCTGTTTATATGTTGTTAGTAAATATCTTGGTGTAGATTCACCATTTTTAGCTGAAGTACTCAGTGAACCATGGAGATTATCGACTAGTCAGGTATACCACTACTCATTACATAATAATAACTTTTATATCTTCCAAATGTAATTGAAAATTGTATGCTTGACAAGTCATTGAATAGAAGTTGTCTGTATTATAGAAGTGCATGACTGAGTATGTTTCTCAAAATATCAATCTTAAATTATCATTATCCTGAGTCCCAATTTCTCAACTTTGTAAACCTATGACACTAAAATTTTAAATGCTTCCCCATAACTAGGAAGAAATATATAGTAACATGGCCATGCTTGAGCTACTTTGTTGTAACTGTCTGTTTGCTAGTAGCCTTGTTTCAGGAACCTTAAAATTTTTAAAAAATGCTCTACAGTAGACAAGAATCTTACTCTGGAGTTTCTTGCCATGAAAATTTATTGTATATAATATCCCTATATCCAGTCTCAAAGTTTTTGTCATAGAACTTCTAAATTTTATCAATCTTCATTTCAGACACCACATACTCAAACTAATCGTATAGATTTAGTTAAATATCCTAAACAGATCTGTGCTGGAGGTGGATTTGGTCCTGTAAGTTTTTTTCTGAACTATTTCTGTAATATTTTGCTATTGTTATCGTTTACAATAGACATGGTTAACTCAAAATAAATATGATCATCTTTTAAATAGATGCTTTAAAGGAAGTGATGAATTACAATAAATTTAAAAGAATATTAGCTATCTAGTTACATGTATTTACTTTTACAATTTTACTTCTGAAAGAAAATTCGATATCAAGTTGATCTGAACAATGAACAAATTTATTTGAATCCATTTCTTGAATCAATTGCATAAATGAGTATTAGAAAAATTAAAACAGACCTGAAAAAGCATATTGTTACTCACTTTCTTCAGACAACTGACCTTTTTTCAGTCTGCATCGCTACTGAAGTTATTCTCATTTTTCATGAATGAGTAACTACATTGTGTCCAAACCGCAAAATAAAGCGGCCATATGTGCCATTCAATGTTTTGATTAATGGACAGAGTAAGATTTTTGGTAAAAAATTGAAGCTGAGAGAAAATCAAGCCTTACTTTGAAATATTTACTTTTTATCTCCTCAAAAGAGCGGCGGCAAAGCGATGTTGTGTTTTGTTTACATGTCCTCATTTCCGTTCTACTGATCTGATTGGTCAGATTTAAATAACACCAATCTCATTTCAATGCCCAAGAAATGAAGTGTTGTCGGCTTAGTTTAATACGGGTTGATAAGACCATGTCAAACCCCATATTCATGATAGGTTGGAGTAAGTATAGCACTATAAGCTCACATTACAACCAAAGTGCCTTTTATGATAGTTAAAGAGTTGAAGAGTTTATTATGAATGTGTGTTATTATATTATAGGTAGCTGATGATGGATATGGTGTATCCTATATAGTAGCTGGTGAAGATACATTATTCTTTCATATTTCCAGTAAAAAAAGCTGTCCAACCACTGTAAGTATAACTCCAAATATTCTTGTCTAATTATTACAATGACACATTGACTTGACACTTTGGAAATTGCTTTGTTTATCATATCGGTAGAAATGAAATGATCTTGATTTGCATGCAAGGGATCACATGGTACTTCCCTTATGCAGTATGCAAAATTTTCATTATCAAAAACATCATGAAATATGCCTGAAAATATTTCAAAATTTGCTATTTATATCTATGTATCTATACTTGATAAAACTGAATTTGTTTTAAAAGTGTTAATTGAAAACGGAGAGTAGTAATTTGTTATTTAAGCAGTTTGACCTAGTTTTGGTGGCTTTTAGGCATTTATTCTGTAAGTACAAAGTATACATTATTAACTACCCTTTTGTTTGGAATGTGTAACATTTATACAAATTGTTATTCCTCCTGTATTTTGTAGAGTTCCAAGAAATTCGGAGCTGGTATAAATAAAGCATTACAAGATTTAAAGAATTTATTTGGAAAGTAATATAGTATAATGTTGAAATGATGTAAACAGAATGACGAGAAACTGTTGTGCTGACTAATTTACCAACCTAATCTGATGTGTCCAAATTATTAAGTTTTCTGTTGATTTTAAGTTTTTATGTTTTGTTTTAGCCATGATTGATTGTTTTCTACGGTTTTAGTTTTAGCCGGTGATATTAACACCAATAATTAATAGCTAACATTTTATTTTTATTATTATTCAAATAACTAATATTATTCTGAAGGCATTTATTTATCTTTCTATAAAGCCATATATTGTTATAAGAATATCAATGCAATTTTGAACAATGCAAATTTGGAGAAAAAATTCCAAATTGTAACATGACCAATTAAAAACCAGAATATTTTGTTTCATCATCTTGCCCAGTTATCTGGTTTTTACCTCAAAAATCCTTTTCTTTTCTTTTCTTCATTTTATGGATTTAGTTGTTTTATTTTTGAATTGTATATAGAGATGATATACAAAGATATTGTACATTTTTTATTTATCATATTGAACTGATATGAAACAAACTTAAAAATTCATACTTTAATTCAAATATTTCATCTAAATCTAAAATTCTAACTCTTATAGAACAATTTTTAGACTAAGTTTAAAAACTTTGAAATAACAAATTAAAGCATTAACAGTTTATTGGATAAATATTCCTATCAAAATTTCACATTGACATAGGCCTATAATTTAATTTTTATTGATATTTTGTTGGATTGGCCCACAATAAGGAGGAAATTAGAGATACACAGGCACATACTCAGATAAGTTTCATGCTCAAACTGTCGTTCTCATGTCATAATAATTTTAGGTTATTTTAGTTTTTATAACAGTTTTTAATTTTAAACATATATTTGATAGACCAATAGTATAGCCTGCTCTGGCATTCCTAATTTAAATATTGTGTGATGTTTAAGTTTGAATTTTATCATTAAAAATAATTATTTAATTTTGTTATTTTTTTGCCCTCTAACTAATACATAGTAATTTCAAGAATCATTGATTTTTCCACGGGAAGGAGACTGAAGAGTTCTTAATTCTTAGTATTATGAAAGTGACATAAGATCATTCCATTCGGCCATTTCTTGAACACTCTCATTAACTTATTGTCAAATTTGAATGTGTCATTTTGTGGGAACAATTTATTCTGTTTTCTTTGGACTAGCAGTTGCCTTGAGTTGTTGTCTTCGATTTCAGTACTGAAAACAGTGGGTCTAAAATTAGAATGGCAATTTCTAAAATTCTTCTAAAATGACTCGTGTGTAAGGCTCCAGGTACTTTCCTTTTGAAATCGTTCTGCCTTAATTGTTTTTAATTACAAAACATCTTGTTCTGTTTAAATCATCAGAATATTTAGACCAGCTTGAAGTCTGTTTTATTTCATAAAGACAGTTGGAAGACCAGATGGAAAATAATACACAAGTCTTATATTCTGAGACTCTATAATTCGAAATTCTACAGTACTACCTTATACAGAAAAAATTCACTAATATTCAACCACGTGATGTATAGTTACAGAGACCGATTAGTCTGGGGAATCTTGAATGACCATTCTTTCTGGATTACATGTAGTAATTGCCTGGAAGTGTAAATCGTTTTAAGCATACTAATTATCAATGATTTATTATCTCCTCTAAATGTCAGAACAGTGTAAACCAACAGTATGGATATATGAAAGACAATATTTATTATATTATTAGTCAAATTTATTGGGTTTTTATTTGATCAACCTCAAATACACATTGATAGTAAGGGTGTCACGTTGGTCCACTCTATTAGACAATAAGTCGTTTCGTTGGAGGTCACGAAAACCTGCCATTGTAATCAATGAACATTCTGAGATCTACCTGAACAAAATCAACAGAAAAGAGACCGTAAGTTGGCTTATTTATCATTAGATTTAACCAATTAAGACGATAGATCTACTTTTCAAGTTGATCGCCTCTGCCCATCAATCCAAGGGTTCGTCAACATAAATTTTCGTGGTTAGCACGATAAGAGATTGATGGGAATGGGTTCCAAGTTGACTATATTTTAATAAGTAGGCCTACATTTTGAGTCGTTGTTCTTGACTTAAAGTGCGTCATATAAAACAAAAACGACCCACGATCATTAGACGAAAATGATAATTTCATCCGATTTAGAGAGAGCTTATGCAGTTCCTGACACTAGACAGATCTTAAGATCAAGATATTTTGTAAGAACATTGACACACTTTATTCCTCGTCAGTACATGGTTCTCCAAAATCATAAGAATCAACGATGAAAAGCATGGAAACGCCGTGGTTGTATGACGTAAAATCATATTGTCACGACAAAATGACTTCACGTCACAAAGTAATGGCTCCAACTGTTTGCAGATTGAGCGTGGGTCTTAGTTTTAGCTCTGTGTTCACATTCGATTTCAGATGCCAACGTCAAGCCAAGCTTTAATACTTATCAATGCAGATGGTATCTTACCAAAACAATACAGTAAGATAGGTTTTTTGGAGAACAAACCATGTCAATTATCAAGGGTATCTGTTCACGGTGAAACACAATCTCAGCAGAATACTTCATTGCTATCAGCATCCAGATATCAACTAGCAGGTTATCACCTTGAACAAGACAGTCTTTACACCAGTCCACGGTCAGAGAGAGATCCACTACCAACGTCTACTGTGAAAGGTTATCGTGGTGTGTTTGCCTTTGATCCTGTAACACGATCATTTACTTGGCAACTACTAAATGATTCTGCAGCGAATAGATTGCCATCACCAAACAGAGAAGGATTAGCTTCAAGATTTTATAAAAATCGGATTAGTGTCGACAAACTACCAATGTGTAATGCAGAAGATGAAACACTATTACCGATAGGTCGCGTTCCAGATCCTGTGACATTTGAAAAAAATATTAGAAGACTGATGGAGTTGGGCTTCAGAACAGATTCTAAGCTACTTGAAAATAAATCAAATGAATCCGAGAACAACTCAAAATCGAATTCACCAAGTAAAAATACTCAAAATGAGACATATAAGCTACCAAGCTGTGTGAAGAAAATGGGTGGTTCATCATTATTACCATCTCGTATGTCATCAGAGCCAGCAGTATCAGTATCAGCTGGTGTTAGTGACTTAGCTGATAAAACGACATTACCACATATTCCTAAACGTATGGACAGGTAAAGACATATTCCTTATCTCTTAGATTTGTTATAGAAATCCGTACAAATATGCAAGAAGATCATTGCGATGACCAATACAATAGAAAATGCTTGAATTCTATTTATGCCCTAACTTAATTTACAATGCATAGTTATCCATATAGCATTGTAATCCATAGAAATATGTTAAGATTCGCATAGGCACCATGACGGAAAAAGTTCCCATTTCGATCATTTTATTTCCATTCTTGGGTTATTTTGCTAATACATGTACAATGAACAAGGAAATCTGTTGTCTATTTCAGTTTTGTTTTGAACTATAAGTCTGTATCAACACCTACAGTAGCTAAGAAAGCAGAAAGAGCTCTGTATGAGGAAGTAAAACTCAACGATTCCAAGAAAAAGAAGAAGAAATATATTCCAACAATTCGAATGCGAAGAGAGCTTCCACCGCTCAATTCGAATATGTTATGTTTCAATTTCTACGATGGTAATTTGTCACATAAAGATGTCAAAAATATGATCGAATCACAAAGTGAGGGAAGAATTTTAGATTTGAAATTTGATCCTATTTACGTTCACTTAGGTGAGGCTTCGTCACAGTATAAATGTATGTGGGTATTTTCGATATCGGATCTAACTGCGCGTACACAGCTTCTCTATAACGGATTAAGATTTAACGGTGAGCGGATAAAAGTGAGATTATATGATGATGTGATGAAAGAGGAGCACAATGCCTATAAGTTCTTTAAGGAAGTAGAAAATGAACACATAGAGAGGAAAGTTAAAAGTGGTGATAGAGAAAGTAAAGTATCCAGTGTTTTGGGTTTCGATTCTCCAAATTTATCTTCTAATATTAACCTTTATACTATCAATAAAAATAACATACAAGTAACAGCAAAATCATCAAGAACTCGTCGACAGAACAGTGGTAAAAAATATTGTTAGGTAACAGTTACAGACTGTAGTAAATAATATTGTTAATCTCGTCTAAAGGTATTTACATGCATTTATTTACTCACACAGTATTCCAAATGTTTTGTGGAAAGCAAAATATGTTTCCAGTCTGTATAATTGGCAAAGAAATATATCTTCTCAAATATTTGTAATCATGAAAGATAAATTTGTATTAAATTTTGATATTTAAACCATTAAATTCTCTTAAAACCCAAAATATTTGCCACAATTCTGTCTCTGTCAGGCAATAAAAGGTATTAGCTTACAACCTCTTGGGATGATAAAAAAATAGCGATGGCCTTCGTTATACGCCCAAAATTGTAATGGCAGCCGGAAGGTTGACAAGAGCTAGTAAATTAAATACTTCGAGAGCAATATTTTCATACTGCAAGAGCTTTATTCACAGACTTTTTTTTCGATTTTTAGACAATTCACTCGTCTAAAGTTTCGTCTAAATCAGTCAAGAATTTTGTCTTTTGAGGTGTACACAAGCTACAGATTGAACAATATTGAAAATGAAAACAAGGGCAATAACCCATATAAAATATTTTTCGATTTTTTTCTTTTTAATATGGTTCATCTTTTGGTGATTCCACCAAGTTTCTTTAAAATCTGTCATAAATTGTGCCTTGAACGAGATTTCAAGAACAAGGGCAATAACTCATTAATTACTTTTTTGGATATCAATAGGGTACATCATTGTGCAATAATTAACAATTTCACCACATTTCGTCTAAATCTGTAAAGAATTGTGCCTTCTAGACCTTTCACAAGCTAAAAATTGAACGAGTTTTCAAGAACAAGAGCGATAACTCATATTAGATATTTTTCGATTTGTCTAATTTTATATAGGGTTCATCCTTAAGTGATAACAAATATTCATACCAAATTTCATCAAAATCCATAATGAAACCGACTCTCTATCGTATCCACAACAATTTTCAAAAACAAGGAGAACTAGAGCCACTCGTGGCACAGAGTGGGACTTTGCAAATGTAGCAAATTGCAGAAGACCCCGAAAAAATCAACCTTCGCCGATAATTAGATCAAGCGCAAGAACAGTCTAAAGTTGAGAAATTTTCATTTTCTAGAAGATTCTAATACCGGAAGTAGACGTCGGACCTCACAAATGAAAGTATCAGCAGATAGCCAAGGTCAATGACCTTTGATCTTGTAAAAGAGAAGGTCGAAAAAGGTCAAGATCAAGAGATATACGTCATCAAAATTTCTAATTGCACACGACTATAAAACCGGAAGTTGACATAGGACAGCAAATATGAAAGTACAAATAGATAGCCAATGCCAATGACGTTTGATCCTGCAAAGGTCAAGGTCAACAAAGGTCAAAAATTGAAAATTTTCAATTTCCAAAACCTGTTCCTTTTTTTGAACTAAGAAGCGGAAACAACCGAAATTCTAAGACAAAGTGGCTCACAATATGACGTAATTGTATGCAAAGTTCCATTTTGAACAAATGTATACTTTACGAGTTATGCCCCTGGCCAAAAATGTCAATAATGAGTAATTAAACCCGGAAGTGCCACGCCCAACTCAATTTTTTTTGAATAAGTTAATCAATATTCAAAATGTTACGTTATGTTCCAAATGTCAAGTTCCTA